GGTTTAAATTGTGAAGTGAGCAACATTCATATAATTTTGGTGTATCTACGCAGCATAAGTCAAAAATGCGGCATGCAACAAAAGTCAGCCTTGGCTAGCAGTTACACAAAATTTCATACTATTTCCAATAAAATTATCAATTATAAATTTATTTATTTCTCTCACTAACGCTGAATCTATCCCTAGTAAGGAAGTAACGTATCACTACCGAGGAAGGTGGGATGAAAAACATTAAACCCAGTTTGATAAATTGATGATACTTAGATAGGTTCCTAATAATTGTCTGTCAACTTCTCGATCTACTCAGGCGAGCAGATCTTTATCTTTCTTATTGAGTTATGATTTATTAGGGTATTTGTCTTTTTTCACACTTAAATAAATCAGCATAATATGCAAAAGTCTGATGTATTTTTAAAAAAAAAATTTAAAAGTATATCTGAAAGATGGTCATAGTGAAGCACTGTTTCTCTACTCTAAAATCATATAATCTATGATTTATGTACTATGTGTACTTTCCCTATTTACACGGAGAAAAACATTCTGGTAAAATTAAAGTATTGAAAAGACTCATTTGGCTAAAAAAACAAAAAAATAAACCGTGTTTCTGGTAATAAAACTAAAATATACGGTAAGTTTATATATAAAGATATATTAACATTTCATGTGGTATTTTCCCCTCTATATGGTAACAGTGTACCAGAAATTGTAGTTTTCAAATTTCGAGTTCTTGTTACCAAAAATTTAGTAACGATTACAGAACTGGAAAATACATTTAACCGTATAAATAATTTTTATTTCATGCTCTATGGTAGCCAAATAAAATTACCTAATACCATATGTACCACATTTTTGCACATATTTTAAAACAATATTTTTTTAATTTTACCAAAATTATTATCAAAGATCACTTGGTAAAAACTATCGTGTTTTTTGGCGTTCCCATTTAGCCTGAAAAACGGTAAATTTTACCATAATCTGGTAATTTTTACCGTATTATTTCTCAATGTACTTTTACATTTTGCATCTTGGACTTCTTATTTTCCGTAAATATTTCAAATTTATGATGTTAAATTGACTTATTTGAATAATTAATTTTATTTGAACAATTTCAATTAAAACACATTCTTTTTATTAAATTCGAAGTTTAGCTAATCAGTTTTATGCCACTTTTGCATAGATCTGTTTTAAACTTAACTAAATTTTGCGTTTAAGAAACATATCGATTAAACATTTTTTTGACAATTTCTTCCTTTAGTATTTAGTTACATTTAAGCAAAAAGGTCAGTTTTGTACAAAAAATGATAACTCTAATCCGTAATAAAATATATATGTTATCAAAGAATATTTTTCATCTTTACTTCGTTGTTCGTTGTTGTTGACAAGACTGTTCAATAAGAAATCACAACTTTCTTAAGATGATATTTCCGAACTAATTTCCTTTTCTCCTAACTTAATCTCTCGAACATTCATTGTATGTAATTAACATCACTCGAATATCAAATTGCAGCTTTCTCGTTTATTAATCGAAAAAGAAAATAGACAAAAAGTTTTTGCTCAGAGTTGTAATGGCATTTCAGAGTGCTAATAAAAGTGACAGATACAAAATGACAGCTACTGCATTATTCAAGTTAAAGTTAGTTTTAATGGAAACACTAGTGTAAAATTTTCAAAAACTCAATTTGTTTGATTTATTAGATTAATTTGTGCAGTATATATCGGAAGACTTTTCCTTAAAGACTGACATTTTTATAAATTAGAATAATTTACAAGGAGTTCCTTGTACTTTCAAAAGTCCACAAAAGTGGTAGCACAATTTAAACTATGTGCTAATGGTATATATCGGAAAACTTTTCCTTAAAGACTGAAATTTTTATAAATAATTTACAAGGTATTCCTTGGACTTTCGAAAGTCCACAAAAGTGGTAGCACACTTTAAACTATATGTGTTTTTTGTTTATTTTTTTTTAAAATTATTATAAAAAATCTTGAACATCACAATAATTCAGAAATTTTTTTCATGCATAAATCTGATATGTACAGTGAACACAAAAATAAACGGACCACCTGAAATAACTTTTGATCTAATTACTCAATCGTGGTTGGTTGGTTCTAATGCCACTTGCCATATGGGCAAGCCTGCTTGGTGAAACCGAGCAAATTTAAGGCAGAGTGTACGATTCTTGTTTTTCAGTGGCGCCATCTGTGACCAAGAATTCGACTTCTGCCACATCATATGTTACACCAGTTTATAAGGCGAACCCATTCATACATCCATTCATTCATCCACAGATCGTAATTTTGACCTGAATCAGAGAACGATCCAACAGAGAACTTAATCGTAAAGGTTCAAAGGAGTGACCTCAAATATGTTAATTATTCAGTGCAGACAATAGTTTAAGTTACGAAATCAGAAACAAAAACGTACCTTCTCTGAATAAACGTATCTTTTTATTTTTTTTGACTGATTCGGATTTTTAACAATCGAAATATAGTGGGTAGCAGCAATCTGAGAAATATGGTGTCATTAGTTTGGTCAGAAAAGCGGTCCAAAGTTAGAGCCCTTTAATGTTAAGATAAAGTTTCACGTATTTCGCCATATCTCGAGTACTTCCCAAGCAAACTGAAAACTTTTTGCTCACAATTATAAAATTCAGCCAGGAGAGCTCTCCAAAGTTTTGTCCCCTTAATTTTAATTTTTGGTTATTTTGCTATATCTCTTGAACTTTGTAAGACAATTAAAAAATTTTTGCACACGATTATAAAATTTGTTTATCGAAAGTTAATTGCACACAAAATATAGCTTTTAGTAAATATTTATTATTTTTAATTTATTTAATAATATCTGAAAAAATTCAGAATTAAGAGGTGTAGAAGTTTTTACATCATTTTAAAGAATATAATTTTACATGGTAAAATACAAAATGTCATCAAAATCGGCTGAATAGTTCCTGATGAATCGAATTTCAAAAATACGACTTTTTCACAATTATATATATTAAAGCACTTATTTAAATTGAAACGGCTCCAAACTGAAATAAGTTTCGACATGCTGTGATAGTTAGCTCCCTAACACCTTTGATGGCTAGCTTTCTATCACTTTTGATGATTAGCTCACTAACTCTTTTGATGGTTAGCTCACTATCACTTTTGATGGCTAGCTTTCATCACTTTTGATGGTTAGCTCACTATCACTTTTGATGGTTAGCTCACTAACTCTTTAGATGGTTATCTCACTATCACTTTTGATGGCTAGCTTTCTATCGCTTTTGATGATTAGCTCACTATCACTTTTGATGGCTAGCTTTCTATCACTTTTGATGGTTAAGTCACTATCACTTTAGACAGCTAGGTCACTATCACTTTTGATAACTATTTCATTATCACTTTTGACAGTTAGGTCATTATTACTTTTGATGGTTAGTTCACATTTGATGCTCAGTATCACTTTTGATGGTTAGCTCACTAATGTTTTCGGTAAACTATTGGGAGCTTTATGAGCGTTTCTTAAAGAACGCAAAAACTACTTTAATGATAGTACACACTTCAAAAGATCCTTACATAAAAATGTACACTATGTTATGTAATCACCGCAGTTAATATACAAGGTGTTTTGTAAGGGCTGCTTTTAATATATATTTTTAGAATTCTTATCAAAAATTAAAGCAAAAAGGCATGCACTATGGAGGATCACAAATTAATATTTAAGTGAGAAAAGCACAAAAACTGTATAAAAATTTGACTAATTACGGTAGAGCAGTGTTTCCCAAAGTGTGGTACGCGTACCCCCAGGAGTTCGGGAACTGTTTAGCTGGGGTACGAGTTTTTATTGCGATGCAATAAACTAAAATTTAAAATTTTTTTTATTTAAAAACAAAGCCAACCATGAAAATTTGCGGTTACGTATTTTTCTATTAGCTATTTTTTGCAGAGTTAACAGTTAATAATTAGTGGTGTCAACAGACAGTTGTGATTTTTAACTTTTGTAAAAAAATTTTATACTGAAAAATGCATTCATTTCTTTATTAGTGGTACACAGCGTTACGAAAAATTGAGAAAAGTCATAAGTTTGGGAAACACTGTGGTAGAGGAAGTTTCAATTTTGTTAAATATTACAAATATTTAAAAAATGTATCGAATAAGAAGGAGCCATGATAGCATAATGGTTCAGACACTAAGCTTTCACTGCTAAATATCCGAGTTCGATCCCTTGAAATGGTTTGAAGCTTACTCAGCTTCAGACAGGTGAGTACCAGTTNGGAAACACTGTGGTAGAGGAAGTTTTAATTTTGTTAAATATTGAATTACAAATATTTAAAAAATGTATCGAATAAGAAGGAGCCATGATAGCATAATGGTTCAGACACTAAGCTTTCACTGCTAAATATCCCTTGAAACATCCCTTGTTCGATCCCTTGAAATGATTTAAAGCTTACTCAGCTTCAGACAGGTGAGTACCAGCTTCACTGAAAAGTAAATGCGGTCGGTACACGATGCTGACCTATTGGTTAGCCCCCTAACATTGGTCTTGAAACTGCGGTGTCGCAACCTGTATAAAAACAATTTCTTTTTCATGTTTTTCAAAGATTAGTAACTTGAAGTAGGTTTCAAGAAATATATATTTTGTTATACTCGATCATTCCGCAATTAAAAATAGTTTTAGTTCTTAGTGGATTTTTAAATTTATTTAAATTAACAAAAATTTTGTTGAAATGCATACTTATTTACGTCGAATAAATTGAAATACTTTTTCCCTAAAGAGAGGGAATTTAGTACAAATACCTCTAAAGACATCTCAGTATTTTAAATAAATCGAAAAAAAAAAAGAATTCGAAAAAAAAGTCTTAAACAATATTTTGTTTTCAAAATTTTAACATTAATAAATGCATTCTTTGGAGTTTTCTTTTTTTAAATTTTAATTTATAATTAAATAAATAATATAACTTACAGGAAGGATAATTAAAAAAGTAAAGCAGAATTTTAGTTAACTACGAAATATGAAAGAAAATATTTTATGAAAGTGAAGTTGAAATTCTTCTGTTATTTCTTTGTCACTCTACCTAAGACGTAAGTTTTACTTTAGCTGATAAGATAAAATTTACACGCATTATGATTGTCTGTTTGCATTGTAGATTTAAAGTTGCAATCAGGTGGAAGAGGGAAGAGGCGTTGTTTTTTCTTCTTTGTTGTTTTGTTTCGTTTTACAAATCAATCGATATTTTTCTGTCTTTGAAAAAATGTCAGATACTATAAGCAACTGCTTTAGTTTCACGTGGGAGATAGAAAACTTCTTTTTTTGTCCTTACAACTCCATCGCAAGTCCATATTTCACCGCTGAAAATTTAAGTCAGGTGCCATGGCAGCTGGTTTTGTATCCAAGAGGTATAGATGATAATAATTGTATAGATATTATATTATGCAAAGTTGTGGAAGTGGTAGAAAGTATCATTGATTTCAAAATAGAAATCTTTGGACGCAGTGGTCACTTATTAGGATTTTACGAAGAAAAAAACGCAGTTTTTAATAAAGATACCTTGGAAAAAGTAGGTAGAAATTTAGTTGATAGAATTCATCTAATACGGGATACTTTGGAAGCGAGTAAAGATTTTCTGACAATTTTCTGTCATCTGTCGAATCCAGCATCCAGTGTTGTGAACTCTTTAGATTGCTTTGCTCGAACTAAAATTGTTGTTAATCAAATAAGTCTTCGACTCAACTGGAGAAAAGGTTACGAGCTACGAACACTGTTAGACATGGAAAATCAATTGATTTTGAGAGAAGATATCTTTTGTCCTGATATGACTGAATTTTCCATCTGTTTCAGAAAAATAAGGGATGATGTTGAAGTACTTATTTGTAGACAGAACTCCATTGCACCTCAATGCGTGGAATGCAGACTTAGTTTGTTAGATGTCAAAGGTTGCGAAGTACTGTCCATTGAAGATGCTCACTTCTTTTTAAAAGACCATAATTTATGGACATTGCCTCCCTTCCTCCCCGTCTTGGAAGTGAAGTATAATCGAAACAAGTATATTAAAAACGGAAGTATGATTATTTTATGTGAACTATTTTGCTCCGGAGGCATCGAATCAAATGCCCTAGTCTATGGAAACAATGCAGCAAAATCACTTGCTAATACTACCAGGGAAAATATTATTCGTCAACATACCCTACAAAGCGATATCCGAAATTTATTTTCTGATAAAACAATGTGCGACGTTAAACTAAGAGCGAATGGTGAAATTGTAGAAGTGCACAAATCAGTTCTAGTTGCTCGGTCGCCATTGTTCCATACAATGCTCCAGCAAGATAATGCTGAAACCCAAACTGCAATAGTGGACATTCAAGACGTGGATGCAGACACACTTAAAGCATTTATTAACTTTATGTACTGCGATACAGTGGACAAAATGGAATATGACTGTGCCAAAAATTTATTGATCGTTGCTGAAAAATATCAAGTGCTTCGCTTGAAGGAAATGTGTGTATCTTTTTTGAAGTCTGATATATCTGAGAAAAACGCGTGTGAAATTGCTGCCCTAGCGGATATTGTCCCTCATGCAGATTTGAAATCTTTTGCCCTGGATTTTATCGCTGATCATTCAAAGGGTATTTTAATCAAGCCAGAATGGTTATCATGGATGAAAGACCACATGGGATTAGCCACCGAGATATTTCAAAGATTTTCAGAAAAGCATACACTGATTTGAAAAGTTTGTTTTAATCATGAATTGCATATTTAAAAAAACTTGCTTACTCTTTGGTACTGCAGTCCATGTTGGACCATGGCCTCCCAGAAAATTTGACCTATGGTAATTTAACTCGTGCCTTAGTTTTGCAATGGGTGAAAGATCACATGAGATTAGCTACCGAGATGTTTCAGATAAGCATATACTAACTAATAAAGCTTTTTTTTCTATATGAATTGCGTATTTGAAAAGCTTACTTACTCTGTGGTACTGCTGTCCATGTTGGACCATGACCATCCAGAAAATTTGAACCTAAAGAAGTCTACCACTAGCCTTAGTTTTGCAATTCCTTAATTTTAGTGACTTAATGACTCAATATTATTTTCATCATTTTTAAAAATACAGGCAAATAATTGAATTATACTATTTATGCTTCTAAATAATTAGCATTTCTCATATAAAATAAATTTTTTTTTATTCTTATAATCAATTGAATCTTGTGGCAAAATTAATGATAAATAACTATTTATGTTATATAACTGTTATTTTATAGCAAAATACCTGCAATGGTATTTTATTTATATTAGTTGCTTTGAGTCATGTTTATCATATTAAATTATGATGCTTTATTAAAGTATTCCATGTACTTTAATGAGAGATTTATCTGAGAAATGTTTAAGAATTTTCTCTTTAAAAATGTTAGCAAATTGCTTTTTGCTAAACTTCAAATCAGTTCAACTAAAAAATAACTTATTCATTTATTTCCTGTTAGATATGTTTTTTTTACAGAAATACTATGCAGTGTTAATGTATTTTGAATGATATCAGTATTTCATAATCGTGCATTAACTTACCTATTAAAATTTTTTTTCTATTGTAGTATTGTATTTTGAAACTATTGCATTTTTTAGTTTGCTTTATTGACATTTTTATGCTTGCATAATTTGAAGTGCAAGGTAAAACATCATAATTTATTCTGAGAAATGAATGTTTTTATTGGTGAGATTGCTCGATTTAGAACTAGTACGAGTTAAGTATTGAAGTATTAAAAGAAGGTAGGAATGCCCAACGATTTTTATATTGAGGATAATAATCAATAAGAATGGGAATAACTCAGAAGCAAAATATATAAAAAAATTAAAATGAAGGTAAATAAAATGTTTTCTTGATTTAGGAGACAACTTGAATTTTAATTTATTTTAGAAAGTAAATACTTTATTGCTTTTTTCAAACAAATTAAAATATTTTGGTTTTTAAAATTCTTTTTCGAATTTTAGAATCAAAATGTAAGGATAAGACCTGGTGAAAAAATTGGAGAGAAAAAAAAGACAAGGCGAAAAAAAGTTTAGTTTTTAGGAGAAAAAATAGGAATTTATTTAGTTCAGAAATGTAAAAGCTGATTATCATTATCAAAATTATTTTAAATACTACAAAAACTAGTGCTGAAAATTAAAAAATATTCTTCGCAAATATTCCTTTGTTAAATCTAAGCAGAAGCATTGTTTAGAGCAGTTGGTGTAAAAAGGCTTAAGCGGAATTGCTTACGTAAATCAGAAGAAGACATTTCACGAAATAAAACAGTCAATACAATAGCCTATTGAACAGAAGTATTGGCTATGGATAGCTTTTACTCGCAACAGAAGTTTCATTTCAAGTTTTTGTAAAAATTCTGAAATGTTTAAATTTGAAATGCATAGAAAATAAATTCACTATAATCTTCATGTATTTTTGTTTTCAACTATTTTTCAAATTTTATTCTTTTCCCGAAACTTTTTTTATTATTATCAAGTATTGTCGTAACTTTGATATATTTTGTTAATATTGTTATTTAAAAAAGATCCGTTTTATGACACATTATATGAAAATTTTGGCGATATAAAAATATCGCCAAACTTTTCATATGTGTATATATATATGTTCACTGCCACTTTCATATAATATGTTCACTGCCGGAAATTTCTTAGAAATAGCCAAATAACAATTTATTTAATTGATATTTTATGATATTTAACTGAACAGCAACTATAAAGAAAGTGGTATTCTAACTGTAAGCTGGAAGAAAAATCGTTTGACCGTTTTTACCTAATACGATTAAACAACCGCGTCAGTTATGTACCCATCCAATGAGACTCAAGAGCACGTTCTTCGAAAGTTGTAAGCTAAGCAATGTGATAAGGATTACGAATTCATGTTTCTATATTTCATTCATATCGGTTGCTTATCACAACAGTGGATGCTTAATAATCTTATAATAAGAAGTGCGGGGAATACCTTTAAGAAGGCATTTAGTTTCTTGTTTCTGGGTACAGAGGCTAATCCGCCTAGCCTGGAGCGCTAATCTGTCAATCTAATGCCCAGCTGAATTCGCGTTCAAACCCCTTCGTTTGCGGCACAACATTTCATATATTCTTTCAACAGATCAGAAGTTTCGAGTGACTTGCACTCCCCAATAGGTGATTCTGAACTACTGGAATACGAAACTCCTCGCAGCAACATTAGAGCAGCTTAATATCAGAAAAATCTGGTATTTACCATCTCTCACAATAGATGGACACGCCTAGATAAACTAATTAGGCCACACTTGACAAAACACAACACAACTCAACCATAACCTAACTCCTATGTCTATGATGTTACAAAAAGTATAACATAGTCTAACTTTAATGTCCAGTTAAATTTAATTATGATGGTTTTGCAATCAAGAATACTTGAAAATGTTTATTAAACAGTCCAGTTTTGTATTCACGGTCTTTTCAACATACCAGTTGTACATTCTTTAAAACAGGCAAAGGTAAAGAAACAATCCTAACCGTAAGCTTTACGTTTAATGTATGTACCAAAAGCTGTCAGTTATTTTACTTTGATTTTAGAATGGAAATTCTAACAGTGTACTGTTTTACTCTAACAGTTTTAACCACAAATGCAATTTTTTTTATACTCAAAATAGCTTTTATAAACAAAAGTTTAATTTTGTTTCTTACAGAAAAAAAACTAGGTTTTAAACTTTTTGTGTCTAATTTAAACTTAAAATTAATAAAAATATTGCGATAGATTTAAGCAAACCACCAAGTGATGCAAAACTACTAATTGTAGTAAACTAGACAGCTCCATAATCATAGAAAAATTAAATCTTTTAAACGAAATTTTTAAATCTCTGTTTTAAAGTGTATTTGAAAATAATCATAAAAATATAATATATTAAACTTGAAATATATAAAAACTAGGAGGCTTCGCCCCCTGCTCGCTGGCGCTCACCAACCCCCGGAACTGCTTTCACAGTTCATTTCGGATTGCTTCGCAATCCAATGCTCGCTTTGCTCGCTCATTGGATACGTTCTTAACGTCTAGTTTTTGNGGCCTCAGCACGGATCAATTTAGTAGTCCGATGTGACGAAGATAACTGCGCAGTAGACGAAAAATAAGAAAGATGTCATTACGTTCGGGCTACTAAGCTGCGCAGTGGTTGAAAATACGACATATGTCATTACGTTTGGACTACTAAAGGATATTTATGGTAACCCGTGCTGAGGCCTACTCTTTTCTAGGAGGTGTTGGTCAGTTACGTATCCAGCCAATGAGACTCAAGAGCACGTTCTTCGAAAGTTGTAAGCTAAGCAATGTGATAAGGATTACGAATTCATGTTTCTATATTTCATTAATATCGGTTGCTTATCACAACAGCGGATACTTAATAATCTTATAATAAGAAGTGCGCGGAATACCTTTACGAAGGCATTTAGTGTGGAAATAAGTAGTTTCCATTTATAAACTTTAGTGTTTGAGTTTATTTTTTCAGATTCGTTTCCAGGAAGGAAGTGAAGGGAATTCAAGAAACAAGCATTCAATCAATGTGACGTACGAAATCGTTATCTATAAAAGAACGAACAATTTCTTTTTTCATGCCAGTGGAGCGGGATGAGCAGCCTACTCATATTTTGAGTCTTTGGCCGATTGTATGATGATCCGATATTTATATTTGTATATTCAATTAGAATTTTAGATTTAAGTTAACCATTGAAAGTAATAATAAATGTGTTCCAGTTTATTTGTGTACGTCATGATTTTTAGCCAACTCTGCTTTGTGAGTTAAATCCACATTTAGTTCCTTGTTTCTGGGTACAGAGGCTAATCCGCCTAGCCTGGAACGCTAATCTGTCAATCTAATGCCCGGCTGAATTCGTGTTCAAACCCCTTCGTTTGCGGCACAACATTTCATCCATTCTTTCAGCAGATCAGAAGCTTCGAGTGACTTGCACTCCCCAATAGGTGATCCTGATCAACTGGAATACTAAACTCTCGTTCACGCATAACAGCAACATTAGAGCTGCTTAATATCAGAAAAATCTGATATTTACCATCTCTCACGATAGATAGACATTCCTAGATAAACTAATTAAGCCACACTTGACAAAACACAACACAGCTCAACCATAACCTAATTCCAATGTCTATGGCGTTACAAAAGGTACAACACAGTCTAACTTTAATGTCCAGTTATATTTAATTTTGACTGTTTTGAAATCAGGATAATTAAAAATGTTCATTAAACCGTACAGTTTTGTATTCACGGTCTTTTCAACATACCAGTAGTGGTTGGTTGGTTCTAATGACACTTGCCACACGGTAAGCCTGCTTGGTGAAACCGAGCAAATTTAGGGCAGTGTGCTATTTTTCAGTGGCGCCATCTATGGCCAAGAGTTTGAATTCGCCACACCATACGTCACACCTGTTTATAAAGCGCACTCATTCATACATCCATTCATTCATCCACAGATCGTAATTTTGACAAGAATCAGAGAACTATTCAACAGAGAACTAAATTGTAATCGATCTCCAATCCAGTACCCCCAGAGGTTGGATCTGTTATCGGAACACGGAGGACTTTGCGACTCGACAGAATTTTAATGTGCATCAGTTACCAACTACACGGGGAGTCTTCGCTCTATACCGACCAGGCTATCTCGGCACATACCAGTTGTAAACTCTCTAAAACTGGTAAAGGTAAAGAAATAATCCTAACCGTAAGCTTTGCGTTTAATATGATCTACCAAAAGCTGTCAGTTATTTTACTTTGATTTTAGAATGGAAATTCTAACAGTGTACTATTTTACTCTAACAGTTTTAACCACAAATACAATTTTTTTTTACTCAAAATAGTTTCTTTACTCAAAACTTTAATTTTTGTTCTTACAGAAAAAAATCAAGCTTTATGTATCTAATTTATACTTAAAATTTATAAAAACATTGAGACAAATTTGAGCAAACCTCAGAATGATTCAGAACTAATAAATATTTTAAACTAGACTGCTCCATAATTGTCTCAGATTTTTATTTCGAATCATAGAAAAATTAAATCTTTAAAACGAAATTTTTAAAAGCTCTGTCTTAAACTGTGTTCGAAAATATTCATAAAAATATAATATACTAAACTTGAAATATGTAAAAATTATGTTCGTTGATAGCCGTACTACAAATTTGTAGACTATATATTAAGT